TTTTTTTTTCAAGGCTATTATTACCCTGTGTTAAAGGGATAGTTCACCCAAAAAAACTTAACATCATCATTTACTCGCCCACATGTCGTTCCAAACCTGTGTGACTTACCTTCTTCTGTGAAATATAAAAAATATGAAGAAATGCGAGAAGTGCTTTTTTTGGTCAGTATTAAAATAAAAGTCAATGGACTCCAACGTTGTTTGGTTCCCAACATTCTTCAAAATTATTTTGTGTTTTGTGCACACACAGTTTTGTAATGACATGAGGGTGAGTAAATAATAACCATTTTCAATTTTTGCCCTGGTCATACTTCGATTGCAAATCTCATGAAACCTATAAAAAAACATATCTAGGTCACATTATATTGCTATTACTGTCAAAAAAATCTAATTAATTAGCATAAATTAAGAGCTGTACAACAAATATTATCATTATGTATAAATACCTAATTTAAATAAAACCCAAATAATATGAATTACTTTTTTGCATTATGGTAATCAGAATTTTGGGGGACAATGTCACAATATAAAAACCATAATGGTCCAAAAATTAGGCTTCATCTTCTTTAATAACAGTTTGATTTATTTCTTACCATTGATTTTATGGTGAAATACAATCTAGCCATGTTCTTGACTGGCTTTGTTAGATTTAAGCAACAGCCAACCAATCATAAACTGCCTCAATGCTAGCCTCATTAAATATTCATGTCTTTGCAGTTGCAGAAACTTTTAGGTGCTGTTTTCGGTTTAACTCTAAGAGAAAAAAGTGTCTAATGGCAATTCCATATTTTTCTGTAATATATTTCAGAAGAATACACCCTAATTTACTTGGGAACATTTACACAGAAGGTTCAATAGATGTTATTAAACTCATAAATATGCTAATTATCTGGCAAATTTGCATGCTGTTTATCAGATAATATTTATTATAAACCAGCGTGGACAGTTTTCATTTAAATAATGGCACATCAGTCTCTGCAAACAAATGTGCAGAAGACCTTAGAAAAATTAATTGAGACACAACCTAAGATAACATTAACCTTGAGTTAAAAATGACACTTGGTAAATAACTCATTATAGCCTATTAAAGCCCGAGTCCTCACATGCCCTTGTCACAAATGGCAAAGTTTCCTCTCCTCACGTTTTTCCCTCGAAGCCTGACCCTGAAATCACACAACTCCCTGTTAACAGTGAAACCCAGTGGCACAAGCAACAACCAACTTTTATGTCTATTTAAAGGGAGCTGTCACCTATACCTCCAGAGAAGGCCTGAAGGCTATACACTTGTTTCAGTCCATTACGTGAGACGGCTCTTTTTGTGAGGAGTATAAAAAGTGAAAGCTATTGGTTTCCTAGAGTGGACAGTGATGAAGCTGTGTAAGCGATGGGTTACATGCGGCTGCCGTTATGATTTTTGACAGAAAGCGAGAGTGGAATAAATCTCGCAGTGACGTTTGCAGTGCCTCGACCTAATGGGGATGATATAAAGCAGGGCTGTAATTTAAAGAATATGCCCACGACAACTTGAAAACTAACTCTGAGCGGACAGGACTGGAGCCTGCCCCGGCTCCCTGGCCTTTAAGAGGATTGATGCGCGTGGTTCACATTGACGTATCTGCCTCGGGCTTTAGCACTGCGCAAGCACCAAACTGATGAATGAAATTGGGAAACATCTGCGGGAGGATCGACTCCAGGCTATGTTTTGATTCAATTCCATATCAGTCACAATTTAGCCTATTCCCAAACCCTTTTCTGATCAGACTCTAGGAAAGGAAGAGCATTTGTGCAAGCTGTCACAGATCGCACATTCTGTCCAATAACAGAAAATGGGACTCCAGCTCCCCGATCCAAATGAATGCATTATTAAAGCATTATTAAAGCCTTCTGTGTGGCAGAATAGCACCTCATCTGCATATGAAAGAGGAGGGTGCGAGGGAAATAATTAACTGTGTGACTTTTACTAATGAGGAAAAAGGAGATCTGGATGAAATGAAGACTTTGACTGAGATTTACAACAGTGGGCTGTAATTTAACACGCTTATGTAACCACAAGACTTTTGGACAGACAGACTTGTGTCTGGTCTGAAGCAAATGGACAGACATTTCAAC